CAGTAAGAGTGATGTGTCTCATTCCCCTGACCCTGAAAGAACCTCCAGTGCGACACCTTGGGGAAGGATGAGTAAGGAGAGGCGGCTAAAATCTCAGGGCTAGGACGAATGCAGACATTACTGGCGCCCACTCGAGCAAATCGATTAATAACGGGATGACAGTGATATAGTGATATAAATACTCTTGAGATCCAACATAGGCAAATAACCCAATTAAAAATGATCATTTAGAACTAGAAATTATTCAGTGGCTTAAAACACTCATCTGGCAAATATAAGGCCATGAGTCAAAACCCCAAAGCACTCAGCTGATGAGTTGAAACCCCAGCATAGACTGCATGTACTAAGACTGTCATGACAGCCCCTCTTTGTGGAGTTCCCCAGCAAGGAAAAATGGAAGCAAACATTTAAAAAAAAAACTTTTCTGCCAAGGAATACACACACACACACACACACACACACACACACACACACACACACACACACATATACACAGATATATGCAAAGCACAAGAAAAGAACTTAATATCCTTAGTCATTAAGGAAATAAATCACCGAGTATGACTTCACATTAAAAGACTTCTGCAGATAAAGACCCCTTAGTAAAGATAGTGTTATACCCAATATTCTCATGAATATTGCTGTAAAAGTCCTCAAAAACTGACAAAGCAGGGCTTGAGAGATAGTACTGAGTTTCAGGTGCTTGCCTTGTGTGCAGTCCACCCCGGTTTGATCCTTGTCACCTCAGTCTGAGCACCACCAGGCATCATTCTTGCGAATAGAACCAGAATTACCTGAAATACCACTGGGTGTGACCCACCCATTCCCCAAAGTATGTATGCCTTTGACTATATTCAGTTCAGTACTCCTCTCCAAATTTGTGTCTAGTACATAAAGAAACAAACGTCTGTCTTTGCAGATAAAATCAGGTTTAGAGGTCATACTCGATTATAATGAATCCTGACACTGTATTTTTTAGTATAAAAAGTGAAATTAGGTTACAGAGATAGAGCGAGAAGGCATTGGGAATGTGAAGATGTAGCTATAAGCCAAGTAACACCAAGGATTGTCAATGACCACCAGAAGCTAGAAGAAGCAACGATAGATTCTTTCCTAGAGTTTTTGGAGAAATCATTGCTCTGTTGATAACTCTAGTTTTGTACTTCTGCTTTCTCAACTGAGAGACTAATCCATGTGGTTTGTGGTTCTTTGAGTAATATGGAAATAAGAATACAATCATACACACTTCTGCCAAAGGGCTGTTACACAAAATATACAACGAACGCTTTAAATTGAACAATAAGAAAGCAAACAGCCTGATTAAATATTTATATTGGCAAAAGTTTGAACAGCTTTCACTAAGGGAATTATATATTTGACAAATAAGCATTTGAAAAGATGTCATAAGTCCTGTCAATAGGGAATTACAAGTTAAAACAACAAGAAAAAACCTGCTTGAGGGCAGGTGATATAGTACAGCAGTTAATGTGCTTGCCTTACATGCAGCTGACTTGAGTTCAATCCCTGATACTGTATTTTTTAGTATAAAAAGTGAAATTAGGTTACAGAGACAGAGTGAGAAGGCATTGGGAATGTGAAGACGTAGCTATAAGCCAAGTAACACCAAGGATTGTCAATGACCACCAGAAGGGTGGTCACACATAGGGTCACCCAAGCCCCTCCAGGAGTAATCCCTAAACATAGAACAGGAGTAAGACCTTAGCACCAAAAAAATACAAAAAGAAAGAAAAAAAAGAAAACTTCCAGAACTTCTCATTTATTAGTGGAGAAATGCAAAATGGTCTTATGTAACAGAACATAACTTTGGTCTTGTACAACTAAACATACTCTTACTATAATAACATGCATTGTACTCCTTGGTATTTACGCAAATGAGTTGAAAACTAACTATGGAAAATCTTGCACAATTGGGGTGCTCAGAAGTAGAGTGCATATTTCACATGTATGTGGCCCTGGGTTCATCTCCTGGTGCTGGAGAACAAAACTGCTTGCAAATATTAATAACTTTATTCATTATTGCCAAAATTTGGAAGCAGCCAACATGTCCTCTGTATGGTATGGATAAAGTGTGATACATCCAAACAGTTGAATGTTAACTCAGCAGTTAACATTAAAAAGAAGTGTTATCAAACTGCTATAAGAGGACATTAAGGAACTCTGAAGATGTGATAAAATATCAATTTTAAAAAGCCAATACCATCTGATCCATACAATATATTCTAGGACTAATAAAACTAAGGTAACTTGGTCCAGTCACGGTTCTCCCGTTGTTCATCGATTTGCTCGAGCGGGCCCAGTAACGTCTCCATCATGAGACTTGTTGTTACTGTGTTTGGTATATCGAGTACGTCACGGGTAGCTTGCCAGGCTCTGCCGTGAGGGCGAGATACTCTCGGGAGCTTTCCGGTCTCTCCGAGAGGGGCGGAGGAATCGAACTCGAGTCAGCCATGTTGGCTGCGTGCAAGGCAAACTCCCTACCGCTGTGCTAAGCAAGATTATTGGTTTCCAAAAGTTTGGGAAGGTGATGAAGAGCTAGGACAAGTATCACATATATTTGTGTGTAATGTTACAATGGTGAGTATAAAACATTATGCATTAGTCAAAATCTATAGAATGCATAACACTGAGTGAACCCTAATATAAACTGTGAGCTTCTGAAGCGTGTCACCTTACCTTAATATGATATAAATAAGGGTAATTGGGGGAAAGGGAAAGAGTCCCTGTGAATGTTCCTATGGGTTTTTTTTTCTTTTTGTAAACTTAAAGCTGGTTTAAAAATTCTCTTGGAAAATCTACATACAAAATTAGAAATCACTTCACATACATTAAGATCACTAAAATGAAAGTGGTAAAATCGGAACTTTCATTGCTGTAGCATTATAGAATGACGTAGCTACTTTGCAAAGCGATTTGGCAGTTTCAGGTCAAAGAAATAGCTCAAGGGGCTCAGCTGTAAGTTTCCCATAATTCGAGAACACTTCCTGAGTGACAGGCAAGCTCAGTGCTCAAGGACTATTCCCAGGTCTGTGTTCAGGGGTCACTCCTAGCAGTGCTCAGGGGACCATGTTGTTTTAATTTCTTTGGTCAGTGTAACTTCTATCAGGTCTTTTTCAATTAATTTATGTTGACTATTTTTTTTTCTTTTGCATGGGCTATTTCTTTGTGTGCCCTGTTACTTTTTTGTTGGAAATGGCACTTTCAGTCAGATAATTACAGAGATGGGATTTTCTGCTTCCCAAGCTCTTTTGCTGAGTTTCTTTCTTTGTTTCTTGTTGTAGGCTATCTGTGCTGGGGTTCATCCTGCATTGTAAACACAGGTTCTTCTTGTGTCTTTTCTGAGTATTTTCCTGGGCATACATGGTCACATCCTAATTTTCCTAATGCATATAACTTTTAGGAATATCTTTTTTGTTGTTTTTTGATGTTTTAGGGCCACACCCAGTGGTGCTCGGGGTTTACGCCTGACTTAAAGCTCTGGGTGGGCCTTTGGGGGAGCATATAGGGTACCAGAGATCAAACCCAAGTCAGTCACGTGCAAGGCACACACTCTATATGCTCCAGAGATATAAACAATTTTCTAAAATTTGTAATCCTTAATTTCTCACTCCCAGAGAAGGAAAGAGAAAAGAAGAAATAGGAAAACTGAGAGGTAAATGTTACCAATCTCTTAAATCCCTTAAATTTTCTTAACCTGGAAGGAAGCTGTTTGCAAGTCTTGGGAGGTACTGTGACAGACACCAGCCTGTCTTCAGCTCTGTGATCATAAGTGAGGTAGAGAACAGACCCTAGTGTTTGGACAGGCTCCTACAGTGTAGCTGAGGATTGGACAGTGGACCTTTGCTAAAGGCCTAGAGCTAAAATGGATTGAAATCAGTCACAGTTTATTCTCCACATCTTCCTGTGGAGGGTACAAGACTTCAGCTGACAGTGTTTCCTAGTAACTATCTCCCAGCCCATGCTGAAATGTTGGGGGCTTGATAATAGCCTCAGGTACAGTTAGGGAGAAGGGTGTATTCTTTTAGCTTAAAAAGAAGTGGACTTCTGGAGGGTGCTGAGTGATTTTTTTTGTTCTGAAAAGGGTCAATTGGCCAGATAATTTTGAAAACATCTGCTCTCTAGCATTCCAAAATAATTAACACAAGTCTGATTATGCCTGTAAAGTGTGTCAAGGTGGTGAGAATGTTTCTTGAATCATCTCTCCAGCATTCTATCTGGCCTCTTCTTGGTAAAATTTCTCTGACCTGAGACCTTTTTTCTTATTACCCATACTGCCAGAATTTGTCTTTTGGAAGCTTCAGAAACTCACTGCCCTTCTATAAAACCTTTTTTTTTCTTTGGATATCAGTTTATCAAGGCTTTCTTGAATTTGCTGGTCTTTGGTAGTCCCACATGTATGTGTATGTGTGGTTTTTATATTATTTTGTTATTTCTGGTGTTATCAGAATAAAGATTTTTCTCTTTCTTTTTACAGGGCCACATCCAGTGGTTTTTGGGAGTTTCAGGCATAACCTCTGTGTCTTGAATTCTGAACTGGAAGTGATCTCTTTATAACTTTCTTAAACATAGTATGGGAATCTCATTTGTCAGAGTGGTCTTTTGATTTGTCATTCAAATTGGTCTCCAATAATTCCTTGCCTCTTGTCTAGCTACAATCCAGGCCTTTGTTCCTAATTAATTCTCCCTAGAATCTTTTTACTTTTCTTTATTTAACTGAATTGCCTGCTAATTCTTTTAGTACAATTTTTCCTGAGATGCTATGTTTATGTTTCCATGGAGTGAAAAATTTATTTCCCTGTTTTTGTAGGTTTACTTATTCCTTTATGATATCTAGGTTTTGAGAACATTTGTTTTTTTTTATGTCACTCTCCCAAGATTTTTGCTTATTTTTGTTCCGGGGCTACACCTGGTAATGCGCAGGGCTTACTCCTGGCTCTGCACTCAGGGAACAGTCACTCTTGGCAGTGCTCAGGTGACCATATGGGGTGCTGGAGACTAAACCCTAAATCATAAAATTGAAATGATACAGAGAAGATTATCATGGCCCCTGTGCAAGGATAACTGCAAATTTGTGAAGTGTTCCATATTTTTAAAACCCTGATGAAGAAGCAACAGTCAGAGCCATCATTGCTGAGAGTTTCCAGAGCTGAAGAGTGTGTGCACCCAAATCCAGGACACCTGAAGGATACCAGCTAAAAGAAATCCAAATAAAAATACCCCAAGTCATACCCTAATCAGAATGATGAAACCATAGAGATGGAATGCTGAAAGCAACAAGATCAAAGAAGGAAATTGCTTATAAAGTATCATCCATAAGATTCATAGAAGACTTATCAGAGGAAACCCTTCAGGCCCGAAGGCAATGGTGGGATATAGTGGAAAAACTCAATGAAATGAACATCTCACCAAGATTACTTTACCTAGACAGACTCTTATTCAGATTCAAAGGAACAAAAGTGTGCTAACTTTAGTAGAATGAGGATTAATTGATAAGACCATAGAGAGTCTCAGAAGACTGTTAAGAAGAATGAGTGTCGATCTGGATTCTAGAGCAGGGCTCTGAAAAGGCACCATTGCAAAGGAGCCAAATTTCAAGTGTTTTTAATTCTCTGTTCAGAATCCCAGAGCAAAGAGAGGTGCATTCTGCTAGTGTGGCCCTAATCATCTCTCTATCCTTTGGTTAGTGCAGTGGTTCTCAGCTGCAGGTTAGTTTTACCCACTCTGTGAGCAATAGCTAGGAACATTTTGGATCAGATCTGGGGAAATTGCTGCTGGCATCTTTTTGGATGCTACAAAACATCCCATGGTGTCTGCCCACTAAAAATAGAATTATTCAGCTCTACTTGTCAGTAGTACTATGGTTGAGAAACCCTGGTTTGGAGGAAGATATTCAGGACCTCTAAACTGTAATCTATTGGAAGTCTGATGAGAGACCTGAAATGGTCTTACCAAAATGTAAAATAGATGATGAGAAGGGCAGAATCAACACACAAAAATAAAAAGTACAAACTGGGGTAATAATTCCAGTCTTGCAATATGGAGATAAGTACTTGGTGCAACAATGTTCTTATTGTCTTGCCTTTTTTATTTTTGGAGGGGGGTTGTCATACCGAGGGTTTCTCAGGGCTTACTCCTGGCTCTCTGCTCGGGAGTTACCCCTGGCAGTTCTTGGAGGACCATATGCAGTGACAGGAATCAAACCAGGGTTGGCCACGTGCAGTGCAAGCGCCTTACCTTTTGTACTATGTCTCTGGCCCTGGTGATTACATTTAAAGATGAAAGCAGCAAGATCAAAGAAGGGAACTGCTTATAAAGTATCATCTATAAGATTTCTTTTAAATAAGAAGTTTTCGTTTTAGTTACCTGTGAAGACTGTATAGTATATGCATATCTCATTCAGTGATAATTTTGGTTTTGTTTTGGGGGCCACACAAATGTGTGAACCTCATGCTCAGGGCTTTCTACTGGCTGTACCTTATCACTCCTAGCAGTGTGTATGTAGGGCATCATACTTTATGATGGGATTGGACATGGGTCAGCATTGTGAGAAATATGCAGCATATTCCCTGTAATATCCCTTAAGCCCATCATTTTGGAAGGGGAATTGTGAACAAAAAAACAAGAAAGTACCACGTTTGCCTAGAATCAAACTCACTAAATGCGAATTAAATCAAAGCACTTTCAAGTAATCTTAGTTTTTTGTTTGCTTGTTTGTTTTACTTTGGGGCCACACCTGATAGTGCTCAGGGGTTAATCCAGGCTCTGCACTCAGGAGTTACTCCTGTGGTGCTCAGGGGACCATATGGGGGTGCAGGGGATCAAAGCTAGGTCAGCCAAATGCAAGGCAGTCACCCTATCTGTGTACTGTCACTCTTGCACCCCCTTTGTAGTTTAAAATGAAACAGACTATTCTCTTGAACTGTTGAACACAACTAGAACATAAAAACTATGTTCTTTTTTTTATTTTGGGGGCACACCTGGCTGTGCTTAGTGTTTAGTTCTGACTCTGCATTCAGGGATCACTTCTGGCAGGCTCAGGGGATGGTATGGAGGGCTGGGGATTGGAAACGTGCAAGGCAAACACCTTACCCTTTGTACTATCTCTCTGTCCTGTAATAATTATATTCTTTAAGTGGGGGAAATTATTATTCAAAATTATTTAAGCCAGTATTTAATTTTATTTGAGTCCACAAACAAATTCAATAATTTCTTGCTGATTTTGAGGTTACAGTAAAAAAAATTTTATACCGTGTTCGTTATATGGGTGCTATTTAGTAAAGAGAGCTTTCCCTTGTCAGCAACTTTGGATGTTGCTGTACATAAGAATGTAAGATGATAAATCCTGTGGGCTATATTGTCTTTTTGTTTGAATTTCTTCCTTGTTCACCTTATTCTTTGTCTAGACAGCAATTAGTCTTAAATCCATATAAAAGAAGATTGATTCAGCCTTTAATTTTCTTAGCATTTCTTCTTACTTGCTGCACAATAATTATAAGATGTATGTAAGTGACTCATAACTTGTTTTGCTCTACTAAATCTGTTTTACTACCCTGAGGAAATTTAGAAAAATACAGTTTTTCTTGTCTACTTTTCTGACACAGTGGCCTTGGACCCAGCTATCAATGGGATCTGTCTCAAAGTGTATATTGAATAAGTCTCTCATTGTCTGTGGTCTTTATCCTCAGTTCCCATGAGTTTCATCAGAGTATTGTTTCAGGTGAACCACTGTCTCCCCGAGAAGATTGTGGTGTACCGTGATGGAGTGTCTGACGGCCAACTTAAGACAGTTGCCAACTATGAGATTCCTCAACTACAGAAGTGTTTTGAAGCTTTTGAGAATTACCAGCCCAAGATGGTAGTATTTGTCGTGCAGAAGAAAATCAGCACCAATCTGTACCTGGCTGCTGCGGAACACTTTGTGACTCCCTCCCCTGGAACGGTGGTAGATCATACAATAACAAGCTGTGAGTGGTAAGTGGAGAAAAACATTTCAGCAAGAGTATGTTGGAAGGCTGGAGCAGAAGTACAGTGGGTAGGGTGCTTGCCTTGCACAGTTAACCTGGGCACCTCGTATAGTCCCCCAAGTCCCCAGGAGTGATCCCTGAGCACCACCAAACTCCCCCACCAAAAAAGAAAAAAGAACACGTTTAAGAAGTTATTCCCTTGATACATCAGGGAATCGAAGATGCCTGGAGAGAGGCAGAATGAAATCCTCAGAAATTTTTACCATTAAAAAAATAAAAATTTTTAAGCTATAAAAATTAATAATAAAGCATTTTTACCTTTTAAATATAAAATACTGAACATAAATTCTTTTCTTAAGGTCATACATGCTTAATCTTTATATAGATGGTAGTTAGCTAGTTTTTGTGCTTTGTTTTTTGTTTTGGGACTACACCTGGCAGTGCTATTCCCAGCTTGGAGCTTAAGTCACTACTAGTGAAGACTATGCAGTTCTAGGACTGATCAGGAACTCCTGCAGGCAAAGCATACACTAAGCCCATTGATCGTCTTTCAGGCCCAGGTGTTTCTTTTTTTACTTTATGGTGGATGGGAGGCACATTCAGTGGTACTCAGGGGCTATTTCTAGCTTGTGCTCAGGAGTGGCCCCTGCAGTGCTTGGGGGGGCATATGCAATGCTAGGCCAGACACATGCAACACACCTGCATTAATCCCTGTACTATCTCTCTAGCCTCCCAGGTAGTAGCTTATACCATCATTCTTAAAAAACTTGAGTCAGGACCGCTGACTTCTAATCCCAGTTTGATTCTCTATACCCTTGATCAGTCATTTGTCTTCTCTGAGCCTCAACTGCAGAAACTAGAAGGATTCTCAAGATTGTTTCTAGTTCTGTTTTTCAAAACCAATTATATCACTGTCTTGTGCTTTTTCCTTTCTAGGGTGGATTTCTACCTTCTTGCCCATCATGTACGGCAGGGTTGTGGCATTCCTACTCATTATGTCTGTGTTCTTAATACTGCAAACCTGAGCCCTGATCATATGCAGAGGTGAGCTGACCTTACTTTTTCTCACTTATAAATCACTCTGAGCAGACAGCTAAAATGAACTTACTGTCCGTCCTCAAGAGTATTTATCCCTTGACTTTCTTCATGTCTTTCATGTATGGTATCTTTTTGAGGGGTAATTCTCCTGTATATTAAAATTAGCTGTTGTGGGGCTGGAGTGATAGCAAAGCTGGTAGGGCATTTGCCTTGCACACAGCCGACCCGGGTTTGATTCTCAGCATCCCATATGGTCCCCTGAGCACTGCCAGGGGTGATTCCTGAGCGCAAAGCCAGGAGTAACCCCTGAGCATTGCCAGGTGTGACCCGAAAAGCAAAAATAAATAAATAAATAATAAAATTACCTGTAGAGAGGATAAAGAGATAACAAGGGTTAAGGTGCCTGCCTTGTATGAGCCCACCCCAGTTTGATCCCTGGTACCACATGTTTCCTGAGCACAGCCAGGGCGGTCCAGGTAATTTCAGGTACCATACAGCTAGAGTAGTACTATATCCTTGGACCTTAGCAGTGAACCACCTGTCTGGTTAGCTGAGATTATAAGGAAGGGCCTTCAGGCCTCCTGAGCACCCCTTGGGAGGCTGCTCCAATATAAAATAAAATTACTTGAATTGGGGACCAGGGAAATGGCTCAAGGCCAGGAGTGATATTTTGCATACAGGTGCCTCAAGTTAGATTCCTGGCACCACATAGTCCCCTGACCATCGTTCTTGAATAGTTTGCAAATACTAATGGAGGTACATTCTGAAGCATTTTTGTTTCTAAAAATTGGCCCAAATGATTATGGTAGCATGATACCAGCTGCCATGTTAGACTGGAACCTTGGAGCTCAGGTTTATGCTCCAAGTATGTAAGTATTTTTCTGAGGTCCTTTCTTGAGTAAAAATAGAACACCCTTGTTTTATCTTAGTATGAAAATGGAGGAGGATGAACCAAAAGGGAATTTATACATATCCAAACTTGCAAAAACGAAAGATAGATGGCATTCCAATAGAAAAACAGCAGTTCCTAAAAGCTTCATTGTGTATTCTTCAATCTGAAGAATTGCTGAAAAGTAGTTATACGCCATTTGATTTTTATGTATATAGTCATGCCCTTAATTGAAAGTGGAAGGTGATTAAGATCATATTTTCTTCTTGACATACAGGTTGACTTTCAAACTGTGCCACATGTACTGGAATTGGCCTGGTACCATTAGAGTTCCAGCTCCGTGCAAGTATGCCCACAAGCTAGCTTTCCTATCAGGACAAATCTTGCATCATGAACCAGCCATCCAGCTGTGTGAGAACCTGTTCTTCTTGTGAAGGGAACACCAGGATGTGGACTGACTAGAGAAGTCAGACTTCTCAATTGGGCTACAGCTTGTGTGGGACCAACAAAGATGAAGGGAATTTTATGTTGTTGTTTTTTCCCTTTCTTCAACTAGTAGAATAAGATCTTTTTTTCCTTGTTTTTTTTTTTCTCTTAAATCTGGTATCACCAAGAAGCTAGTTCCACTCTGAAAGTGGCCTCATTGCTTTTGTAGGGAGAGCCCTGCTCTGGTGGGCTGGAGTGGCTGTGCAGGGGAGCTGGGAGCCCAGACTTCCACAGCCATCAGGAGCTGTAGGGACCTGGAGAAGCAGCAACTGTACCTCTTAGCTGTGCTTAGTAAGCAGTTTCCATTTCTGGAGCCTGAGGTGATAATCAGCAGTCATTGTAAGTTTCTTCAAGTTTGAGAGTTACATGGAAGGTAATAAGGCCTGTGAAACAGAGTTTCTCAATACCTTGAGGCTGCTGGCAAGTGTGAAAGTCATATAGTAAAACCAGCTGGTAACCTCAGACCCTTGTTGACCTCATCTACTTTGGGGGTTGAATTTGTGACATTTGTGACATCAGCTGGTTTTGAAAGGAGTGCTTAGCTTTTCCTTAGCCTTCCAAGAGAGTATAGATGAAGTATTTTCTAAAAATTTCAGTTGCTTTACAATATACCACGTTGATTTCTAACACATACACATATGCACACATCCATGCACAAACACATACATACACGCGCACACATACAAATCCCTTTTGTTACTGATCTGTAGTAAATTTCAGCAATAAAATTAAGAATCAGGGGCCAGAGAGATAGTACAGTGGATAAGGTGCTTACCTTGCATGTGGCCAACGTAGGTTTGATTTCAGGCATTCCATATGGTCTCCCAAGCACTGCCAAGAGTGAATCTTGAGTGCAGAGCCAGGAGTAACCCATGAGCATTGCTGGGTGTGGCCCCCAAAACAACAACAACAACAACAAAATAAAAATATATTTTAAAAATTAAGAATCAGAACATGTGAAATGCAGCAGCTAGAAAGATTCAAGATGAGGTGTGAATTTTCTTGAACCTTTCACCCTGGTGTAAGATCTCCTTTTCTGTTGATATATGTTTGTGAATTATTCATTTCCTTTCTTCAGTAATCTTTCCCAGACAGATTTTGGCTCATTTTGTTAGGGATTTCTCTGAGTCTAGGTTGAGAGTCCAAAAGTCAGCTTTGATGCTCCTGCCAAAGTTGAGACATTTAGGTTAGAAAGTTGTCACTGTGCCCATGGTTGCTTTGAGGAAACACTGCTTTTTCGTTTATTCTCCTTCAGCTTTGTTTTAATTTTTTTCTAGTCCTTTTAGGGAATCTATCTTATCTTGCTTTAACTGGGTTTTAAAAGCTAACTTTATTTAACATCTTCACATTTGTATTTTTCAGTGTGATAGCAGGGAGAAGAGAAAGCATAATTTTCCATTTTATATGACATTGTGTGAGGCACGATGTTAGTTTTAAAGCATCAGAAAAAAATCCAACCAATTTTCCATTTGTGTTGCACCCAGCAGAGATTGAGGAGCAAAATATTGATGGTGAAGTACTGATTTCAGTTGGAGTACCATAGGATAAAAACACCATAGCTAACAAACATCTAGAATCTAAAAATCCATGAAATCAAAACACACTGGGGGCTGGCATAACAGATAAGTTTCTAATGATCTTTGGAAGCATTTTGAATGTGTCTTTTGAAGTTATATTTCTTAAATGTGTATTTTCTCTTCTATAATTGGAAAAGACAAATATTTCACTATAATACAAAAATTATTTCAGTACCTGGTTTTCTTGCCTAGTTTTTTAGTCTTAATGCCAAATGACTGCATCATGGGGTGGGAAGTAAAATTTTTGTATAAAAGTGTAGTTGTGTTTATAAAAATGTAGTTTATATACTCAATTGATAAAGTTTTTTGCTTCATAAAATTGTAATTCTTGTTGGAATTAATTTATTAATTGGTATACAAAGTGCAGCTGTGTCATTAGTTATTAGGTAATTTCATTATAACCTGAGTAGAAAGAGCTCTTGAAAAAGCAGTAAAAATCCTGGGCCTCAGTAGAGATCAATGGTAGAGTCATTTGTCTTTTGGGCATCAGTCCCCAGAATGTCTCCACATGCTGTGTGAGGTCCTGGCAGTTTCTGCCTTATGATCCTCAGTGCCACAAAAATGTGGAATCCATAATCATAGGGAGATTGTTAAAGTGCTAGAGCTTGTTCCTAGTACAGCTTTTTCCCCTGCTCAAACTCTCCCTGGTCTTCCCATTGGTCTGAGCACTGCCACGACTCCTATAAAAAAGTGATGAATTATAGGTCTGTAAAGTAATTAGGGAACAAGCTTAGCATACATCTGACCCAGGTTCAGTTCCCAGCACTACTTTGTACCCCACGCATTAGCAGGTGCATCCCTGGAGCACTGAACCCCCTTGCATTGAACTGCTGTTTAGTTGGCAGAGAATCACCAGTGGGATCCCCAGACCCTCTGAGCATTGCTTGAGAGGAAAGTAAAGGAACAGTCTCCCAGATGTGTGAGTACTGCACACACTGAAACTAAATGAGCTCAACAGCCACAGGTGTCACCCCGAGTAAGAACTATGACCAGTTGTGTATGAGCACTACAGCTAAAGAGTGTAACTGTAATGAGCACCACAGCTAGGTATGCAGGCATCAAAACCAAGTAAGTGTTGGGCTGGAGATAGCACAGTAGGTAAGAAAAAGCACACGGCTGACCTTGAGTTCAGCATCCAGGATTCCTGAGTACGACCAGGTGTGGCCCAGGAAGCAGCCCTCATGCCAACAACAAAAGCAAGGATACATGCGCGCATGCACACACACACACACACACACACACACACACACACACACACACGAAACCTAGTCATCACAACACCACTGCCACTGGGATACCCAGATTTCACTTAAGTTTTTTTAACTCTCCTTTCCCCCTGGTTAATTTCTGTTAGCTTGCATGAGAGGCAGCTCCAATGTTGCACTCCCACAACTCCCTGGAAAAAAATACTTTTTCTAATGCTTGGAAATCTTTACATGCTCCTGATGGTGGGTCTATACTCCTTGAAAAGAACTCTAGACCATTTCACCATCTGTCTCTCTCTTTTTCTTTCATAGTTATGTATACATTATATACAAAAATAGACATTACATATAAATATATGTTAAGTGAAATATATTCCTATATATATTAAGTGAACTATATATCCTTATGCATGTATATATATTATATATACTAAATATATATTTTATTTTTCAATGATTCAGTACTTCTTGGTCCCATTCTGGAAATAACCTAATTTCTATAAGCAATTATAGGATCCTTTTGGGGAAAATTTTGTTGAGTGGTATGAAGGAAATAAACACTTTGATAAATCACCAGCTCTTTATATTGAAAGCATTAAAATAACTGTTTGGGGTCAAATGAGACAATATAATGAGTGGGGCACTTTTCTTGCATGGGGCCGACCTGGGTTTAGTCCCCAGCATTTGTATGGTCCCCCGGTTTGCCAGAAGTGATCCCTGAGTGCAGACCCAGGCATTAGTCATGAGCACTGCAGTGTGGTCCAAAATTTTTTGGGGAAAAAAAAATCCTGATATGACTCAGATTTGGAATTTTGGATAAGACACCATTTTGTGTTTGTTTTTGTTTTGTTTGGGCTATACTCAGCAATGTCCATGGGTCCAAGTAATGTTCAGGGGTTATTCCTGGCTCTGTTTTCAGGAAGTACTCCTGATGGTACTCAGGGAACCATATGGGATGCCAGGAATTGAAACTGAGTTGGCCACATGCAAGGCAAGCAAGCACCTTACCCTCTGTACTATCCAACCCCCAAGACCTCTCTTTTTGTCTTTGTGATGCTATACCTAGCTTTATCTCAGTAGTAATATTTTTGTTTTTTTTAAATAGAAACAGAAGAATGAGAAAAATAAATTAGCAGGTCCATGGAAGGACTGTTACTTAAGATATACAAGGAAGTCTATAACAGTACATCATAAGAAAACTGATTAAGCATTGGCAGGGAGAGGTAGCTCAGTGGACTAAGTACCTGCCTGGCACACAGGAAGCTTAGGTTCAATCCCCAGTACAGATACCACCTGATTCCCTTGAATACCACCAGGAGTAAGCCCCAAGCACTGCTAGTGTAGCCCAAAAATAACAAAAAATTGGGCAGAATAGCTCAACATATCTTTTTTTGGTTGGTTTTTGTTTTGGGGTGACAGCATTGCTCAGGACTAACTCCAGGTAGGGCTCGGGACTATATGGATGCTGGGGATTGAACCCAAGTCAGCCATGTGCAAGGGAAGTGCCCTATTATCACTTTGGCCCCTCAACACATATCAGGGAAAATATGCAGTCAGCAAGTAAGTATATGAAAAAATATTCTACCATACAGCATTCGAGAATTACAAATTGAAACATATCACACTGCAACAATATTAGAATGGTCAAAATCCAAAACCACCTAATTTTGGTAAAGATGTGGAGCAGCAGAAATTCCCATTCATTGCTGGGATGGATGCCAAAGTAAGCAAACATTTTGAAAAACAACTGCTCAGCCAGAGAGAGAGTACAGCAGGTAGGGCACTTGCCTTGCACATGGCCAACCCGGGTTTGATCCCCAGCACCCCATATATTCCCCTGAGCACCTTCAGGAGTGATCCCTGAGTGCAGAGCCAGGAGTAAACCCTGAGCATAGGAGGGTGTGGCCCCCAACTGCTCCCCAACACCCCCACCCACTGAGAAAAAAAGAATAGCAACTACTCTTACCATGTAATTCACCATTGTGTTTCTTAGTGTTTACCCAAAGAAATGGAAAGAAAACTTAGGTCCACATAGGGCCAGAGAGATAATACAGTGGGTAAGGCCTTACATATGACTGACCTGGGTTCAATCCCCTGGATCCCTTATGGTCCACCAGCACTTCTAGGAGTGATTCCTGAGGGCAGAGTTAGGAGTAGCCACTGAGC